CAGGTCCGAAGACACTGGGTCAGAGTGACATGCAATGCAGTTGTGCTCGGTGTAAGATAAGTTTGCAATTCTGTAGTCCAACACACCAACTGGTTAACGACAACAAAGACACGTAGAGTGGTTTCTGAGAATCCACAAAGCCCGTCTTTGACTTTTGAGGAACTTGTTATCGCAACCAAACCAACTAATGACATTTCGTAGCAGGACAACACATATGCTTAGAAGACAAACTAAGCGATAGGAAAGGATGGTGGGATTGTGCTTTCAGCTCGTCGTTTTCAAAGCACCATCTGCCTCCCTTCTGCTTTTTGAGATATCTCAATTTCTCCTGGAAGAAATAAGGTAGTTCTACTCCCATCTGATATGTGGAGAGATTTGGTCTGTTGAGTCTTTGCACATCTATAACCAGAGCAAACTAGTGTAAGGAACCTGCGCAATTACCTGAGGGACCTGCATGGGCATCTCAAGCCACTTCTACGCCAAATTCCGTTCCTTACTGATGCTCCATCCAATAGGGCAGCACAGCCATATCATGTATTTCCCTCCTCCCAACTCGCCCACCATTCCGTCCGAATATCTGTCGGTACAGCGGTGTCTTGAGGGGCGAATTAGCCGCAATCGATCGGATAATCAAATGACGGCAGTAATCGCGTTAGCCTAGATTTCCATCCCCAGGGAGCATGTATTCCCGCCGTAATTGAAGGGGAGATGGCGGTGTGATGCATGGCTGACGGCAGGGGCGGCACCGTGGCTCTTGAGCTGGGGGAACGATTTCCAGGGGGGCCTCCTGGATAAAATGGAGTCCTCACAGGGCGCCTCCCACGCGATCGTGGTGTTCGAGGCGCTAGGGCACGGTGGCTATGTGCCCCATTACCAAACAGTTACATGCATCATATCCAGGCACAGGAATGCCGACAGTTAACAAGTCTAGAATGGGGGCCTTCTAATCATCTAATAAAGGGTCTCACTAACTCAAAACACGGCCTCCGGTTCCAGAAAAGGGCCTCTCGACGCATAGAAAAGCTTCCTTATCTAGATTAGTACGCTTACGATTCATGAAAGGGGCCCCAAGTGAAGCCAAGGGGCCTGCCTATCCCAAAACAGGGCAGCCTGGTCCGGAACCGCGGCTATCTTACGCATGCCAGGAGCCTGCTGTTTCAGAAATAGGGTTTCCCGTTCTAGAATCGGGCCTCCTGCATATAGAGGGCGCCTCCTAAACCAGGACAGGGGCCTCCTTAACACAATGTTGGGTATCTTGATCCAGAACATTAGCTACCTAATTCATAAAGATAAGCTCAAAACCCAGAAATCAGATTCCTGATGCAGCCAAGGGTCTTCTGGGCCCAATCTTATACTCATTCGTGCTTTATTTCCCTTCGCATCCACAACACATAATTTTTATTCATAGCAGCATTGGATTTCTTGAACTCTCACCATTCTGGGGCCTCCGGAGTTGGTTTTAGTACACCCACTCGAAGCATTTCTAGCTTTGGTGGCAGCAACCAGCCTTGTTTATTCTGTAACGCTGTGCAGGTTTATTCCAAACAGTAACGTTTAGCGTTTCGGATAGCCTGATTGTCTTATCACGGACCCAACATGTGCCTTCGTCCTGGAAATTGATCTCAGGAACGCATTCCTGTGTCCTGAGATCTTGAAATTCCGGAAGATCCGGGGTTCATGGTGATATTTGTTAAATAATTATAATTGATCCCAGATTTGTTCAAATTTGGCAGAGCAATCGCTTGGAATCCTCGATCAACTTTATATATTTTGTCAAGGATCCTTTTTCGGATTCCATGTCCAGTCTGGAAGTTCGTGTGCACATCACCTAGGACCTGTTCATGCAGTGATTTTGTAACATTCTTGAAATGAACTTCCATCCAAACCAAATGCTATTTTTTCTCCAAAGCTGAGCTCTATGCTCCAGGATTGACAAAGGTTCGAGTACCAATAATTTCGTTAATTCGTTACCAGAAACTCAACAAAGCAAGCAGCTGTATCTTTACAGTGATAAAAGGCCAGTGACGAATTGCATACCTGTATCAGAAAAACCAGCGTCTCGCCTGGACTTCAACATCATTCTAGAATTGGCTACCACTCCTCAAGAATCCAGGTTTATAATGCATGATATGGTTTTGAGTTGACCAAAGCTGTCGGAATGAGGCCCCAACAACTATTGATTCCGCGAGAACACATAGCATGCAAGTTGCGCCGTGAGAAATTCGGTGTAATTTGCGACAAGGACAGCCTTTGTACTCAGATGCATCTCCCCTCGCAAAACTTTATCAGCTGATATCAGGAAAAACATCCGATATATCTCGCCTCTTTGTCCGCCCCGGTGGCTCAGTTGGTTAGAGCCCCTGCCTTCCGATCCATCCACCCGTAGCAGGGTGGGTTTCAGTCGCTTTGGGCGCTCGCCATTTGGCCTTGACAGGTATGGCCTGCGGCCGGTGGCAGCGGTCGCGCGAAAGGTCAGGCAGCATCAGAAGGCAGGACGGACCGTGCCGAGCATTGCGGCACGTTAAACGTTCGTCACTCAATTCTGTCGTGCCTGGTATTGCGCGATCAGATGGTAGGGGTCGGGGCTCACACAACAAGCACTACTTAGCGTGAGCTCTGATCTCATAAATCCATTCATTGAAAATATTCGGATCAAATCTTTGAGAAAAAAAAATGCCGTGGTGCCATCATCGGTCTGGCTCACGTGTGCCATTTTCTCCAACACTTGCAAATAGCCTCGTCACATAGCACGCTCACCGTTATCTGACAGCGTTTGAAAAGAACCGTACAGAAATGTGTACCACAGCGAAACACCGTCAAGGTCGTCCTCCGCATCATCTCTGGCCAACGCGAGTTCCGTCACACATCTTGGACGCCAGCTGTGAGCCCAACGTTTGAACTCCTTTGTACAAAATTACACCTAACGGCCAACTTCGGGCTCTCACTTGGCCACTTCACGTTAACTCTCAATTTCGTTCTCACATCTCTGGTCGTGACAGTGGTCCGGCGCTTCCGCCTGTCAGAGCAGAATCTGTCAGAGCCACCATCTGCACCAGTCGAGCCATGAATGTCGTGAAGCAGAAGCAATGGGCGCTGAATACTGCCGCCAGCGCTAACACTCGCTCTTACAGCATGCTTACCTGCGCGCTCACGCATAAATTCCTCTTGCGTATGAGAAACGTAATTTGGTCTGTCATAAATCCTTTGTTTTGACAACTCATGCCTTAAGCTCTCCAAATCCATGTGTATCTTTATCGATGTACTTAAACGACACTTAGCAAGCACTGGATTTTTTTATCGGGTGAAAACAAGACGCATTGTTCAGGCTGGAGAGGAACCCCTCCGAACGTCGGCCACCAGCGCGTCCCACCTGAAACAGATTTTGACTGCGGGGGTGATAGACTGGTGCCGACCTTGCTCGTGCCAAACCTCGCCAGTAGATCAAAAATGCACATTCTCAATTCAAAAATTTTACTTTGCAGTAGTTCAATGAACCCCGTTTACCAATACCCAATTTTGCGCGTGTCTTTTAGCCTAGCCAGCACTAGCGGCAGTCGAGTTCTCCAGTGAGTCTTTGAATCTCAATTCTTCAGTGAGTCTTTGAATCTCTCTCGGCTGCAGACTGCCCGTTTGATAAAAAGTCTCCCAGATGAAACGGTCATAACCACGTGGTACAAAATTTAAGTGTAATTACGCGATGATCGATCGATCAGAACCATGTACGTTATCTACAACAGTATGATAACTTGGCTAAGCCAATCGGAAAGGAGACCGCCCTTAATCTCTAAAACTGTACGATGTAAGTCACATTGGTATGCGCTGAAAAGACCTAAAAAACTAATGCGGGAGCTCGAAAGGAGGTATCCGATCACATCGCTGGTAGAGAACCGATGGTGAAATCAAGAAGCAATTGCTCTAATTTCCAGCACATTAAATCAGTTGGTTTGAATAGCCTGCTTCTAAAGGGGGTTAGTTGTCTCCAAACACCCGTCTTGTCTCGTAAACTTTTAACTTCCTATAAATGTGTTATGGTGCATCGGGAAATGTTTTTACATTTCTAAAGGCTTAGTGACGTGAAGTGCGTTTTGTTACATCGCCGTGTGCGGTCCCTTCGAAAATGTTAAAATACATGTTTGACACTTCCGCATTTTTGTTCATTAATATGGGTCTGATAGATATAGATGTAGTATATCATGACCATGCTACTCCATAGATACAACATACGCCGCCCATGACAACTAAATGTGTTGATAATACAAGATCACTCACGTACGATTACCAATGCACCACAAGGCTACAGCTACTCACGCATCGACAATGCGTGAGTCAACATAGCTCTTATTACATCCCGCTCATTCTGTTCCCGGTAAAATTTTCGGCATGTGATTACGCTTGTTGCGCTTCGAACCGGGGACCTCAGTTTTCATAACGCAGCAGCGAAGGCCCGCGACGAGCACGGGCCGCTCCACGTGACGGACCGTTGCCACCGCCTCTGCGGGTGTTTGACCCGCCCCAGGGGCGGTGGTGGCTGATGTGGCCCTCCGAGCGCTGGGGTCTCTTCTCGGGGCCACGGGGCCGCATCGACAGGCTCACCTCATTTACGGCCCATGCTTCGGTTTCCAGAGAGGACACCATTAGCCTGTGATCCGTTCAACCAGTGGAAACAGCTTGTTCCGCCTCCAGGGTCGGGAAGGGGTCGGCGAAGCTGCTCGAGAGCAGTGTGAGAACCCTGCGGGCCCACGCATCCTGCCACACTGCCGTCTTAGTCGGGGAGCCGTTCAGGCATCCAGCATATACCTTCCACAGCGGCGCGCGTGGTGGCTGCAGCACGGCGACCAGGGGCCTGTCAGTGCCGGCACAGACGCCTGACCCTGGGCTGTCCCTGAAGGCCCCAGAGGGTCGCTAGTCCGGTCTTTTCTTCGAAGTCCAGGTGAAGCCCGTACGGAAGGCTGCAGAGCGGCTGCCGTATGTAGGCGTCGTGACAGGCTTTCCATCACCAGACGTCGACGGGCATTTTTCCCGCCACCTCCACTTCATCCAGAAGGGTTTCGACATGGCATCGACGGTTGATCGCGAGGCGGCCATTGGTGATGGAGAGCAGCAGCAGGTGCGGCCAGAAGTGATCGGCGCCCGGCTGCTGGCGGAGCTGCCGCGACGGTTGATCGCGAGGCGGCCGTTGGTGATGGAGAGCAGCAGCAGGCGCGGCCAGAAGTGATCGGCGCACGGCTGCTGGCGGAGCTGCCGCGACGGCTGATCGCGAGGCAGCCATTGGCGATGGAGAGCAGCAGCAGGCGCGGCCAGAAGTGATCGCCGTGCGCCTGTTGGCACAGCTGCCAAGAATGATGCTGTTGGCCGTCCCGGCCGCGCCTTTTGTCCCCAGCTTGTCGGATTGTGGAGAGTGATGACGTTTGGATTGATTGAAACACTTCCCCGATTGGCCTGCCAGGGTGCGGCGCCGCAAACATGAGACCAGAGGACGACCAGCAGGGTTCTCACGACTGGTGACCTGCCTGGTGTGCCGCAAACATGAGACCAGAGGACGACCAGCAGGGTTCTCACGACTGGTGACCTGCCTGGTGCGCCGCAAACATGAGACCAGAGGACGACCAGCAGGGTTCTCACGACTGGTGACCTGCCTGGTGCGCCGCAAACATGAGACCAGAGGACGACCAGCAGGGTTCTCACGACTGGTGACCTGCCTGGTGCGCCGCAAACATGAGACCAGAGGACGACCAGCAGGGTTCTCACGACTGGTGACCTGCCTGGTGCGCCGCAAACATGAGACCAGAGGCCGACCAACAGGGTTCTCACGACTGGTGACCCGCCTTCGTCCAGTCCGAGCGTGTTCAGGTCCGTTGAGGATCTCGATGAATGCCAGAGCCGTGCGGGATGTTGGTTTGGGACAGAATGTATCGGATGTTGGTTTTATACTTAACCGGACTTTGTAAGCGACAGGGATCATCATGGCCAGACAGACAGTAGTGGCTGCCGTAACAGACCACATGTCCAACGTTGGGACGTGAAAGGGCGGCATGGCTCGGAGTTGTATGCGGTTAAAGTTTGGTCGAAATGACTATTGTTCGACAGTGAAGGCAGAATTTGCATCAGCTGTCTTATTGAAATGTTGCATCGATTAAGGTCGGCTAGTATATCTGAGTAGAGTACGATACGGTCGTGAATTTCGGTCAGAGTGGCTCTATTTTCTGGCAGTGACGAAAGCGTTTGCATCAGCTGTCTTACTGAGATGCTGCTTCGATCGAGGTCGGCTAGTACGTTGCGCCAGATACTGACGGATGCTAAGTGAACAACGAAATGGTCCGTAAACAGGGCTGGGAGGCGCGTATCGGGCTTGGAGAATTCTGGCCTGCTGAGATGCTGGTGGAAGGCCAGACATCTACACCGCTGAGCTTTAAAGGCATGACAAGTTGTTTCCTTTTAATTGTCCAGCAGGACGCGTTGTTTTTAAATTTTATTTTCAAGGAGGTGTTACTGCTAACGGAACAGACCTGTGGTGACCGTAAAACTGGAAAAGTCGCCTGCGCCAGACATAACAGAGAAAGCGATACAACGGCTCCATCCGAAGCTGCTGAGAAAGGAGCACACGGAAGCGCGAAGCCATTTGCTTATACATATACGGCCGGAGATAGCACAGCTGCGGCAGTGCGGTGCGGCCGCACCCAGTACCGACAACGATACTCCAATCCTGGCCGCAGTGCGGTGTGGCCGCACCCAGTACCGACAACGATACTCCAATCCTGGCCGCAGTGCGGTGCGACCGCGCCCAGTACCGACAATGATACCGCAATTCTGGCCGCAGTGCGATTCGACCGCGCCCAGTACCGACAATGATCCCGGCCGCACCACACTGCGGCCGCAGACAGCTCGGTTCGAAACAGACTCCAGAACAGGCGGCTTGGCCGCGCTGCGGTCACGGTCCGCACGAATATTAGGCGTGAGCTCGCCGGAAACGCGCTACGTAACAAATAACGAAGAGTGCGGTACTGACGGCAGCTACAAAGACTATACAGCGCTAAAGCCGGATGCAGGTCGAGAGGAGCCTCTAGTACACTGACCAGCTCCCATCCCACACTGTCCACACATTCATCGTCCTTAGAAGACAAAAACACAAACTTGAAAAGAAGTTGGCGACCAGACAAGGGAACGTAGCATCCCGCGGCCGTTATGCAAACGCCTGTATGCAGTGCATACAGTTCGCGCCACACCCATAGACATGCTACCTCCTTACGAAACAAGACACTCATGACGCACATCCAGGCAGTAAATGATAGGTCGGTGACACCTCAATCCCAGCAATTTTCGGTGGCCAAACAAGCACGAGATATCACTACCATATTAAACACGGCTGATCACCCACCCATATGGACATTAATCGACAACAACAAAGCACAGACCAGTGCGCTTCGGTGGCCTCCAAGCCCAGGCAGAGCTTCGGGGAGCCGGAACCAGGGCGGAGCGTTCGGAACAATCTTCAATACCCGGAGCTGCAGCCTTCTCCCATCGCGCAGTAGTCGGATCAGACGGATCAGACGACTCGGCGGAGGTAAGCGCTGAGCCCCGCTATCGCAACAGCCGCGTCCGCTGGCTCGCTGTCGCCCGTTTTGGAGACTGTGGCGACTGCTCCCCAGCCCCGGAGGAAGCAGACGATGTTGCTGAGGCGGAAATCTTCAGATCGGGGTTTGCGGCAGACGCTTATGGGCCATCGGGTTGGGTTTGTGGTCTGTTGCGGTGACCGACAACCGACTCTCTATCTCTCAACACTCTCGCTTCGCAGAAAGGTCAGACAGTTTGTCAATGGCCACCGCAGGCTAAATATATATGATATTAGCCTTACTGAGCCACGCTCCCTAAAACGTGAGTGGCACCACTGGCCTAAAACTAGTAAATAGTGAGCTTCCCTAAACGCCTTTTTTTGTTGCGCGGATGACGCTTGCTGGAGGCATCAGTTCAAGCTTGTGAGATAGCTTGAGATATTCAGTTAGATTCGTCCCTTACTGAAGAATCGTGGTTCAGAGAGTGTAGACGGTGTCTGGCTTTGCGCCGCTGCTGGAACTGGATTCTGGAAAACATAAGGTAGCACAGGCGAACGTCCAACAGAGGGATGCAATCCCCCCCCCCCCCCACATGCGAGCAAGATTATAACCAAATGAGTGTGCCAATCACCGTGGCTGACATCCAGCTACTTCGACGGCATGTCCACAGTGGCTCTCATCATTCGCCCGCGCTTGTAATTCCCTCCTGGGCGAAGTGATAAACGATGCGATTCTCGCGCGCCCCGCAATACACAAAGCAGGGCCAGAAGAGCTCCTGAAACGTTGGCAGCATTCACAAATAACCAATGTAAATGACGAACCCTAAAACCACCCCCGATCCACTGGAATCTACATATAGATGTGTCCATCCTAACGGCGCAGTTGGTTGGAGCGTGTCCGTGAGCGGGTTGACTTCGAGTCGCTTTAGGCAATTGGCTCCTCAATAAGGTTCGAACGGTGGTGCGACGGTGCCGTTGGTGCGATATTATGCTAGTACCTGCGGCTGCTGAAGTGGACATGGTCTTCTGACCAAAGAAAGATATTTGGCATTTGAGATATCTATAAACAGTCTGAAGAACAAGAGTTGGAGGAGAGCAGCGTGGTCAGCAGACGGCACGAAACTTTTTAAGATCAAATAATGCCTTACATGTTGAGAGAAATAAATACAGAATGTGGGGTCTTTGAGGGTTTTGTTGTCATTTCATTAGGATCTGCTCAGCTTTTGCTTTTCGGTGGCATAAGCAATAACACGATCCCCCAATCCCGTTCCTGACAAGATTGAAAAGGCTGAAGGAAGGTTGCGCCAATGCCAGGATGCCAGAGCGGCCGCGATGAACCGGATTTTCTGGCACTATCCGGAAACGTGGGGACGGCACCAAGGGCGAGCCGGACGTGGCACACTTCATGCTTCATTTTGCTGATCAAGAGCACCTTGCGTGTCTTTATTCCAAACACGCTTTACATCCTTGTATGCCAGGCGAAATAAGAAGATGGCGAGTCGTCGAAGAGAACCAGAACTCGGCATCACCAAACCTGGCATTATGGCTAATGGGTGTGTGTCTGGAGCTCCGACAATCTCGCAATATGTTAAGAGTTAGTAACTTCGGTGGTAATAACAGGTGACGTCAGATCGAACAATGGCAGAGGGGTGGCAACTGACAGATAATACGCAGGCACACACAACGTAAACGCGCACAAAAAGCTTAACAATCACCATCGACCGACCTCTTACACGAAAGGAGACGCCATGGCGGCCAGCGGCAGACACCGCAGACGCAGAAGAAGTCGAATCCTCTGGCACGCCACAGACAGGGTGAGCAGCGGCACCGTAGGCAACAAGGCGTACGTGACTCGGCAGGCGTCGTTCACGGCAGCCGTCATCCGACAGAGACAATATAGGCAAGAAGGCGGACGTGACTCAGCAGGCGTCGTTCACGACAGCCGTCAACCAACAGAGACAACAGACGGCAGCACGGCGATGACGGCGGCTGCCAACGGCCGGCAACAGACGACAGCACGGCGATGACGGCGGCTGCCAACGGCCGGCAACAGACGGCAGCACGGCGATGCGATGGCAGCCAACGGCCGCAACGGACGGCAGCAGGGCGATGACGGCGGTTACCAGCAGCCAACATCAGACAGTTGACAGCATTTCTGTGGCAGCAGCAGCCGCCAGTAGCCGACAGTGGAAAGCAGCAACACGGCGACGGCAGCCCGCAAAGGACAGGTCACGGAGGACCGAGAGCCATCGGACGTCTGCCCGGCTACATCCTGCCTGCTCCCACACTGACCGGAGCGACCGTGGTTGGCATTGCGCTGACAGATCAAACTGTTCCTGCGGTTCCTCCGCACGGCTGGCGAACAGCAGGAACAGTCTGAGCAGCCAGGCCTTGCTCCATGGCTGCTCTGAACATCACGCGGCGAGTGATGCGGCACGTTCAGACCGGGCTGAGTCGGGGCTTTCCCCACCGGGCGGGCGCGTCAGACTGACTCAGAGGTGCCTATAGCGGTGGCAGGCCAGGCTGGCACATGGTGACCAGAAGCGAGTAGCTCGTTGTCCTTAATAGCTAAAGATGAGCTTATTGCATAATACTGGATACTTGTTTCAGTATCTGCAAACATGGAACATTCCCGTTAAGAATTAGTAAAAGGAACTAGCTTGTTG